CTGCCATAACCCACCTTTCAAACCGAAACACAGTCATGCAAACACAACTGCTTCATGGTAAAAACACGAATGGGACAGAGGTGCCCAAGCAAACGACTTTTATACAAAGTCTTCCTCTGGTAATATAATATTCACAGAATAAGGAGACTTTTCAGAATGAGCTTTAATGCGCCGTATATTGATTATAATATATAAGTATAAAATATATAATAACAATATTTTATTGAAATAAAAATAATAGATTATTTACAAGGAAAATGAAATAGGTTATTATTATTATTATTAAGACAGACCTTGTAATTATCGTGCGATCTTATAAAATACAAAAATAAATAGCCATGTAATGCACTTAGCGCGTTTAAGTTTTCCCCTGTGAAAACAAGTTGTCTCTTGTTTATTTTTGGTACAATCAGCTATTAATTTAATCCCTTATATAAAAATAATTGGGATTGAATGATGCGTGGGTGACAGCGGCGCTTGTTACATAAAATCTGTTATATAATATCGCTTGTGATTTTTTTTTTTAATACGTGAGAATGGATTTCGACTGACTTATTCGTGTTTCTAGCATAAAGCAGTTGTGTTTGCATGGCTGTGTTTCGGTTTGAAGGGACATGGCAGTGCATTTACAGGGTACAGAGAAATAACACCTGAATGCTCAGGAATGGCAACGCATGGTGGTATCATGGGCGAAACAGTATACTCTGTTATGTCCATGGTACTGCTCAGGTCTATGGGCGACGATTACCACTTTCCATTAGGTGGTCCGTCAGCTCGTTTGTCATTCTAAGTTGCAATAAAAAATAAAGAATTTTTTCTTTAATATTTAGATACCTAATTCAAGTCCACTACTGGACATATCTGGCTCCCTGTAAAAGCTTAATATTGCAAAGTTGAGCTCCGTTACTAACAATATATTAGGTCGACCCCATACGGTTTCCTTTGGGAACCGTCGTGCCCAAATGAATTCATCACGATGGGTTCACTACTCTTGAAACGGCATTCAACCTCACCTATCATTTCTCACTGGCTCCCTAAGGCCATTATTCCATTCTCATCCATTTAAAAAATAACTGCAAAGTATACAAGAAACATATAGGGTTTTTTTTTTCATCCAGAATATAAGTAAACTTCCATACAGATGAATTTTGTACAAAATCTCCATCAAAGAATGCAGTCTGCCCAAAGAAATTTGTCAAATTGAATTGCTCTATGATTCCAGCTGAAAATGATGAGCTGAAAATGCCTCCTTCCTTTCCCATGAATGTCGTAAGAGACGACTAAAAAATATCACTGGTCTAGGGATGGACAGCAGTGTAACAAGATTGGCAGGTGGGTTGGCAATCACAGATGCCATCCCACCTGCCAATCGAGCAACTACTAGCAAAGCTAAATCGTATGGGAGTCAGTTAACGGCTGACATGATGATGATGAATGAAATTTGTATGAGACAATTAAACAACAAAAAAAAAAACAGAAACCTTTAAATTCTACTAACATTATAATTATAATACAGTAATTTTTTTAAGACATTTATATGTTTTTTTGGTACATAGATGGACCATATACTGAATTAATTATATAGACTATTATCATAATACACACAGGCCAAGCCGTGGGAAACAGCTAGTTGCAGATATTATACGAGTATGAAATTAAGCCACCTTGACGTGTAACATCTCTGTTGGCAACTTTGAGAACTGAGATAAGCCAACATTTGGCACATGAATACTAAAATCCACTGCAACGCAATTACTTTTCTTGTCAGTATTTGCAACGGTGCATGGTGGCCACAAATTACTTCCACGTGCAATGGACTTATAATTAACAATAATTTACAGTAATAATACTAACATTACATTAGATATCTATGGCAATAAGTATCTATGGCACACCAATTGCCCGGCCTTCTAGGTCGAATATCCTGTGTATATAATTATATATTTTATATATTATGTGTTTTTTTATACAACTTAGAATGGCAAACAAGCTGACGGCCCACCTGATGGAAAGTGGTAACCGTCGCCTATAGACATGAGCAGTACCATGGACATAACAGAGTATACTGTTTTGCCCATAATACCCCCCATGCGTTGCCATTCCTGAGGACTCAAGTGTTATTCCTCTGTACCCAGTAAATTCACGCCACATCCCACCTCTTCAAACCGAAACACAGCCATGCAAACACAACTGCTTCACGGTAGATACACGAATGGAACAGAGGTACCCAAGCAATCGACTTTTGTACAGTCTCCCTCTGGTACTAAATTCTCTGCTATTAAATGTGTATGTTTATATTAGTTAAATCATATGTTTATATTATATGAATATATCCGTATTGGTTTCATTTTCCTCTATTCAATAATGCATCGCCCACTTATTTCTCTGTTTGCCCAACGGTTGACTGATAGAGAACACCATCTGGTGTTAAGTCCGCCAAATGTACATAGAATTTTACTGTGCATTAAAGTTTAAATAAATAAATATATTATTTAATTAATTTATTAAAACTGAGTTATCTATAATCATTTCTTACTATCTTGTCTTAAGAAAGGTCCTTGAGTGACGACGGTGTACGGGCAAATGCAGTGTAGGACGACCCTCCACTAAATGGAGTGACGCAGTCAAATGCATTGCTGGAAGTCAGCGGATGCAGGTGGCTTAAGACCATTCCTTATGACAGTCTATGGGGGAGGCCTATGTCCAGCAGTGGACAGATAAAGGCTGATATGATGAAGATAATGATTTCTTGCTGTCTTATCTTACTAATATAATAAAATTGTAACTCGATGACATCTGTATAAAAATTGATATTATAAAACCAATAAAAGCCGACAGGAAGAAGCTAAAACAATCATTTGTAGAAATTTTGTCTAATTGTCCGTCTGTTTTTTTTGTTTTGACATCACGCAGAATTTCGCCACCAAATTGGATGTATTTTTCACAGTTATATTTCTGAATGTTTATCTTAAAAACTAGTGTATATTGTATGTGTATATGTATATCTTGATGCAACATCTAGAAATAGTCTATTAACCGATTTCCTTACTTCTAAAATCTAGTCTATAATGAAGAGAAAAATTAGATTTTTCTGTTTGTTCATTTGTAATGAATAAACTCAAAAACTACTCGACTGATTTTAAAAATTCTTTCAGCTATAGAAAGCTACATTATCATCGAGTAACATAGGCTATATATTATTTTCAAAAAAATTAGAGATCCCTATGAAAATTACAATTACTTAACTAACTACATATAATTAATACTATACATTTAATACTACTTAAAATATACAAAAAAAACCAGAAATATCACTCGAGTATATGAAATGTATTCATTTCATACACTCGAGTACAACATTTTCTTGTCTTTGTTATTACAAAGACAAGAAAATATTGTACGAGGATCAAACCTGTAACCACGAAACGTGAAGCAGTGGACTCGATTCTGAGAGGCGAATGAAAAGAAAAATCTGGACAGAAAAAGTAATGAACAACGAAGTCTTGAAAAGGATGAATGAGAAAAGAAGAATAATAAAAAGAATAGAGAATAGAAGAAGCAAAATGCTGGGCCACCTTACACGACATGACGATTTTTTAAAGAGCATAATAGAAGAAAAATTAGAGGGCAAAAAAAGAAGGGGAAGGCCGAGGAACTACATGGAACAGATAAAGGAATCACTAGGTGTCATGTCGTATAGGGAGATCAAAGATATGGTCTGGAAAAGAGCTGACTGAAAGAAAATGCATGAATTATTTACACCGACAAGAGGAAACTCTTAAATGAAAAGAAGACATACCCTAAAATACCACATATTCATGTCAAATGATAAATTTACACTTGCTCGAAGAAAATGTGCTATAAATTTGTCCCGACCGATGAAGGAAATCAAACACTATAGAAATACTTGTACATCGTTCAAGAAACGGGGTCAATCGGAACGCTTTTCTAGGTTTATATCTATTGAAAAATGTTCAATATCTACGTATAGTACTCTCCCATTTTTTTTGTGTTTTTCTTGTCAGTTTTTTTTTTTTGTCACTTACTCTCAGATTTATAGTTAACTATTTGACCCAGCGTACTTCGTACCGCCTATATCAGTCTAAAATATTTTGATTTGTATTTTTTTGTGTGAATCTTTCCGATATTTTAATAGTTATTCTACTACTCAAAGGAGAGAGGAATCAAACAAATCATAGATCATCCAAATCTGTGTAACCGTTCTGGAATTATAAATGATGTAACTAATCCAACTTTGTTTTATTTATATAAAAGATTAGCAGGAATTAACAGTGCAAATTTAATAACTCCAGTATCTAGAATATTTTGACATAATGCATAAAAAAATAATTATATATAGAAATAATAATAACAAATGCTTGTTTGCTACCTCAGTGGTATAAAAAAATATAACAAAATATTTAGATGTCAAATAAGTACAAGAAAATTAATGGATTAAAAAAGAATATTAATCAAAGCTTTAACATTAAATTAATTGTTTACAAAAATCAACAAATATTTAGACTCCATAATTTTTATGAAATAATAATATATAAATAAAATTAAAAATCATAAAAAAAATCAGGTATGTAATTCTGTCGCGTCGTGAATCTAATTATGTGTACAAAACGCCAAACTTGCTTAATTATACAATACTATCATACCTACTTGTACAACACAGTCCAGTACCCTAAGGTTGCCTTGAAAACATTGCTTACAGCAATAAGACCTTAAATACCTTAATAAGTCTTACTGTACTTACTCAACTGTATCGTTACATTTTAATCGTCTGGCTTATTTCCTATAATGTATAACGCAAATAAAGTATACTCATTCATTCATTCATTCATTCAACGTGAAAGTATAAATTTAAAACGACAAATACATCAGACGACCCTATCAACTTCAGTCGTGAGGATACGTGTCTGACGCATAGAATAATTTATACCACACTAACTACTATATGATAACATATATGTATAAGATATAATGTGGTATAGTAAGACCACATTATCTTAAGTCCAATTACGTATACGAGTATGAAATTACTCTGAGGCGTACTAAAATAGCTGCAAATGTCAACATTGACCGATCTACGTACCTACAAGAGGAATGACCGAGTAACTGCATGGGTGGGACGGTGGAAAATTCGATATCTGCCGATGGAAAACTAGTGTCCGTAGTAATCAATCAATTATAGTGTATATTATATATACAATACGTATATATTACTTCATTCATCTAGATAGGGCGACATGGTGTCAAAGACTTACTCAAGTCCGCGTCGTCCTAGTCACTTTGAACAAAAACGTTTGTATGAAATCTGTGCATGCAACCAATTTAACGAATTTAAAAATACTCTACAAAGAAACTTAGGTCTTGTGATACCTATATTCATCAATATTTTGTAGAAATGCTCGTACATAGTGTAAATAGTTGTACAACATTATACATATTCTTTTAATTTATTCTAGTGTGTAAAATACATAATTTAGTAATTTATTTTACTACTTATTTGTTCTTGATACCACTAAGTACTTGCATGAAAAAATTTTTCAATTTATCAATATAAGGGCAGTACCGACTCTTAAATAACATAGTGATTACGCCCACTTTTTTTAATATTCTAAATGCGCCAATTTTCAGTGTTGCAAGTAATTCCATTCAAAATTCCCCGTTCGGATGGGTTTTTACAAAATACAAGTAGAACTGTTTAGGCAAAGCATTTTGTAGTGAGACTCTTCATCTATGTAGACGTAATTAATCTATAAGATTATTATTTAAATATTCTGTATATTTGTTTCATCCAACTTGATGAATTATCCAAGTTAGATTCTAGGGGAGACCGAATGGACCAACCTAACAGGGATTTTTTAATATATGGTATTTGAAAATCCCAATACCTGTAATTTACATTGGATTTGCCCCTTTTATTTTGCATATAGAGAATAATTATTTAATACAAACATTAATTTGAATGCATTTTTATTAGAAGTACCGCAGGATGTGTGATAATGAAATATAGGTCTATTATTACATACATACATACATATCTGTCACGCCTGTCTCCCATTAGGGTAGGCAGAAACAATAGAACGCCAAATGCTTTGAATGGTCTAATATTCTTATATATTAATATTGCACAGGAATTAACAAAGATAAATAAGACTTAACAAGACAAATTGACAAATAATATCTACGTATCAAATAACTTCTCAACATTAGGTTTACAGGTTCAGCAGCAGAAACCACTAGAAACCTTTTTGTTTATTAATAATGAATAATCAATCAAAAAGATATGTTTATCTGGCTGAAATAACTCGTTAAGTAACCCAAAAACCGTATGTCTCCTATGACCTTGTCCAATTATATTAATTTATATATGCCATTGGCAAATTATGTCTAATTTTCATGCATCATTTCTCTAAATATAAATAATATATACACAAAAAAAACGTCTTAAATTGCAGCAAAACCAATTATTTTGATTTAAAAACAAAACTACTAAACCGATTTTAATAAAATTACTCTGAAACCAATTTGTAAGCACATCCCATCAGATAAAAAAAATACAAATCGTTTTATAACTGGCAAGGTTATGAGGTTATATAAAAACAAATATACACATATATATACATACATACAAATATATATATAACGTTATAATAAAAACAAACACAAAAAAAATCAACATTACTACCAAATTATATTTCTAAAATGTCCTCCTCGTTGGGAGATAAGGGTTATTAATAACAAGGATTAACTGTCCCTTGGAAATAATATAGCTTATCAAGTCGATCTTCATGCATTCCGCTTGGAAACTATCATGGTTGATTCTTTATAAATTGATCACGATGGGCCAACTAACCTGGTTTCGTATTCCCATTCTCACTGGTACCAGGCAAGCATTTTTTTTGATGGGTGAAAATAGTTTGGTATCCCCGCCTGCGCTAACGGGATACGCTGGCGGAGCACCAGTGAAGGGTGATCGATAAGAATGAAAACAGGCCAGTTAGCCCATCATGATGAATTCATCAGGAATTAACCATGATAGTTTCCAGGGAGAACCGCGAGGAGATCGACCTGGTTGGGTATATTGCTAGCAATGGGATTCTCAGTCTCCATTACTAACAAATTAAATGTCGCTGTTTTCTTTTACAAAAGTTTAGAACAACTTTCCTACATTGTTATTATTATTTTCAATTATTCTAGATATAAGCTGTTGATTCCAGATGTAATATTAAAATAAAATAAAAAAAAAAATAAGGATGAGTGAATGGGTGCTTGTTACTCTTTCACGTGAAAACATCTAAAAATTTGAATGAAATTTGGTACACGGACCATACCCAAACTTAGCACGTAGACTACTTATTTACTGAATCACGCGACTAAAGACACGCAATGAAGATAACAGTCGACAAAATAAATAGCTATGTTATACCAAAATATTAATAAAATACGAAGCAACCTACTCGCAATGTACATCCCTTTATAATACGAGTAACAATAAACACGACAAAACACTCACCACAAACCGAAGGCAATGAACTGGGATCACAGTATAAAAAAGTAATATACATTTCAAAGGAAACTACAATAAACTGCGTTTTACCAATTTGTAAATTTGTTTTTTTTATAGCACGTAGATGGTAATCAACCATCATCATCAGCATTTTATCAGCCTCTATCTGTTCACTGCTAATCATAAACCTTCCCCTTGAGGGCGTTTACCAGTAGTTGCGATGCTTGGCAAACGGATCCGCAATCGCAGTTAAGCCTTAGAGACGTTTTAAGAGGGACGCTGCTGCCCTCCCTTAATAGCTTCTTACTACACCCACGAGAAAGGAAAGGCCTATTCTATACCAGGATCATATGGCAATCAAGCATACAGCCAGTCTAATGGTAAACGGTCACTGTAGCCTATGGACGCCTGCAACTCTAAGATTGTCACGTGCGAGTTGCCGACCCTGAAGAAACTTTTATACGCCCTTGTCGTAGAATCCCATACTATAGTCTCTAGGGAAAACTTCGACAGAGAATTTATTCCACAGTCTAGCGTACACTGAACTGACTAAAGACTTGTTGTCAAGAATTTCATATGCACACATTTATTTATTTAATTCTTTATTGTACACACCAGTTATAATAATATGACAGAGGTAATCAAATGTACAAAGGCGAGCTTAACTCTGATAGAGTTTTCTTCCAGCAACACCCAAAGTACATTATATTTTAATTTAATAACTGCCGGTTTAATTTATTTATTTAACTCTTTATTGCACCGTAAACAAAAATATATAATGACAAGTTAATTATTCAAGTGAAATACTGTAACATAAATACACATTGAAATATACATATAAAGGTACATACAATTTATTTGAAGATTTGAAAAAAAAAGATCACCGAAATTAGGCGGTAATTGCATTTGCAACCAAAGGAAGACTTTGTACAAAAGTCGTTTGCTTGGGTACCTCTGTCCCATTCGTGTTTCAACCGGGAAGCAGTTGTGTTTGCATGGCTATGTTTCGGTTTGATGGGTGGGATAAGGCGTGAATTTACAGGGTACAGAGGAATAACACCTAAGTCCTCAGGAATGGCAACGTATGGGGGGTATCATGGGCGAAACAGTATACTCTGTTATGTCCATGGTACTGCTCATGTCTATAGGCGACGGTTAGCACTTTTCATTAGGTGAGCCGTCAGCTTGTTTGCCATTCTAAGTTGTATAAAAAAAAATTGTTGAATAAATGTCATCCAACTACGCAAGCAAACTATGCTTGCATGGTTGGATGACATTTCTGTCGTAGAGCAACTGCTTTATGACGGAAATGGGAGTGGGATAAAAGTACTCTCATAAATGACTTCTTTTTATTATAGGTTATTTGAAAATCCCATTGCTAAGATTTGTGTAGGGGTTTTCTTCGAGTTGGTTATAAATTATAGTTTAATGCAAACATATAAAGTCTATATAAAGAACTATAAAATGTGTAATAACTAAATGTGCGTCAATACACATATAACTATGTTTTTAAATCTATTATACTTATATATTAATATATCACGGGAAATATATATAAATATAATTTGTATGGATTTATTATTACGTGTTATTAAATGCTTTTAGGTTATCTATTATATTTAATAAAAGTGGCTTTAAATGAATTAACGCTGTTTTCTTTCTTGATTATCTGCTGAAGAGAATATGGTTTCGAAATATTTAATAATTGACTTGTTGGTGATTTAAACGGTTATTGGCGAACCAATGATGTTTGTACCTCCCTCTGCTAAATCCTGAAATAATACAAAATATTGTAAATAGACGATTTAATAAATAATAATATAACAGGCGTGTTATGTATACAGGGTTGGGTGGGCAGTAATCTTGATATATTTCTGTCTATAAATATTTGAGTAGGTTTCAACCATCGTAAATGTTATAACACAATACTAAATCAACATCGTTAAAATATGTTAAAATATGGATGCAAATTTGAACTCTATTTCTTACACTGTAATGCTAAGTGTACACGCTACAATGTAAGAAATAAGATTTAAATATAAACAATCGCATCATAATACCTTATACTATAAACATGAAGTATAACTTCTCTGCATCTAAAAGTTATTTGAAAAATATCAATGTTAACAATAAACCTGCCCATTATATACTATGTGATCGTTTTCTTAACATTATTTGATTTTGCTTACTATATAAAAATAGATGTCGTATATGGAGGTCAAAGATATGACCTGGAATAGTTCTAGTTGGAAGAGAATGCATAAATTATTTGCCTCGACAAGAGGAAACTCTTAAATAAAAAGAAAGAAAAATAGATAATCTACTAATGTTTATATGGTGATGGAGTTACACACATGTAGTTACTTATTTTTAAACTCGGGATAAAAGAGTCCCTAGAAATAGGCCGTTTCTGAGGTTGCACATTCTGATTATGAAAATTTAGAAAAATCTACGAAACGCAAATTAGCTGACGATCGACCTGATGTAAAAACGAACCATCATGCATAGAGCTAACTACCACACACCATGGATAACACAATGTGTAAATAAAAGGGTATCTTATTAAATAAATTATGATTTCTATTGAATCTTAA